CTGAGGAAAGCCAGGAGGGTGGCCAGGAAGAGAATGTGAAATTGGTTTTTAAAAAGAATTGGGTGATTCGGTTTGGGCCCTTCAGGCACTAAGACTGAGGTTATAGGAAATCCTCCAACATGAGCTGTGAAGGCATTTGGTAAGCAGGTCTGTGGGGATGATCAATTAGCTGGTGGAAAAGGCCTTTACTCAATAGGAGTTGATCAATGATAAATGGCCTGCCTTATTCCTAAATGTGTGCTCATTCAGCAAGGCAAGCAATTTTATCTCCACTCATAGCTTTCATAAAAATAGAATAAATACTTTTTTAGGTATTTTAAAAGAAATAAGAAGTAACTACACAATCCAAACAGTAGGATACTCACAGGTGTAAATAATGATTCATTTACTAGCCATTTATTCACTTGTTTGTTTATTTATTTTTTGGTGACAGTCATACTCTTCATGCTGGGTAGAGTACGGTAGTGTCATAGCTCACAGCAACTTCAAACTCTTAGGCTTGAGCAATCCTCCTGCCTCAACCTCCTGAGTAGCTGGGACTACAGGTCCCCGACACCATACCTGGCTAGTTTTTCTATTTTTAGTAGAGATTCGATCTGGTCCGGAACTCCTGGCTCAAGCAATCTTCCCGCCTCGGCCTCCCAGAGTGCTGGGATTACAGGTGTGAGCCACGACACCTGGCCCTAGCCATTTATTTATTAAAGGCCGGCCAGCTGCCAGCCTAACCTAGGTTCAGCACAGATATTACAGCAAAACCTGCAAAATTAACTGCCAGCTTTTATTGGCATTTCTGTTCTTCTGGTAAAGCATCTGGCCACGTCCTTTTCTTTTCTTAGGGTGGAGATCTGGGTCAGCCCTCAATGAGGTTTGGGTTCAGCCAGCAGTGGAATCACCTAGACAGACTGAAGACAAAAAGACATGTTTTTATTTGAGCCTAAAAGTGATCAGAAATGGACTGGGTATGAAGTGGGTAGAAGTCTCAGCTAGATGGGATTAAAAGAGAAAGGAAGAGAAACGATCAGCCCGAAAAGACAACCGCTGGTGTGGGAATCAGGGAGTAAAATAATCAGCCACCTAGGACCATCCAAAAACCAATTACTACTGTCTGTATAACCTGTTCTCTGCCATTCTTTGATAAATATGTTCAGGTTCTAGAACCTGCTTTTTTTTTTCTTCCCTTCCTCTCGTTCGTTTAACAGGATTGATAAAAAGATGTCCGGAGGCCAAAGTGGGTATGAACTTAGTGAAGCCAAAGCCATTCTCACGGAACTGAAATCTATCAGAAAGGCTATTAGCTCAGGAGAGAAAGAGAAACAAGACCTGATGCAGGTATGTCATGGAACATTTCACCAACTCCTACGTGAACCTTCGGAGGTGCCAGACCCTCTCTCCTTCAGAGTCCAGCTGACCCCGTCCCACCTCTGCCCGCTCCGTCCCACCTCTGCCCCCTCCGTGCAGAATTGGGGCCCCTAGGAGACTGTTACAGACACCAAGGCAACCTGCCTGCCTTAGAGGGGAACAGATTGGCTCCACCCTTCTGATCCGCTTAACAGAAGGCAGCCTTTGGATATCCTTTGAGATATCCAGTGGATCCTGGAGCCCATATGAGGAGATTGGCATCTTGGTACACCTTGAAATTCACTAAATACTTCATGTGGTCTGAATGGAGTTGAAACACATTCTTCTTAGTAAAGTATCACAAGAATGGAAAAGCAAGTCTCCAATGTACTCAATACTAATATGAAGCCTGTAGATCTAATATATGCCCGCATAGGAGAAAAACGCAATTCAGTTCAAGTTGGGGGGAGGCAGAACAAGGAGGGGAAATGGAGGAGGCAGAGGGGCTGGTGAACTTTCACATATGGGCACAACGTAAGGGCACAGGGCACAGGGCACAGCTCCTGGGTGCAGGGCAGCTACAACAGGGACTCTACCTAACAAATGCAAACTTTGTAACCTAATTGTTTATACCCTTACATTAATCTGAAATTCAGAAAAAAAACTTCATGTGGGACCCAGATACAGAGAGTTCACTAAACCAGTGATTCTCAGCTCAGGGTACATAAAAGGCGCATCACCCCCATCAGCAGGTAGAGGGTACGCCTGTTGGGGGTGAGGCTTAGGAAAGCAGATTCTGATTTTAGATATTTGGGGTTCTTTGGGAAAATATTAGAACCAGTAGTAATTTTCACATTCTTAATAGGACACCTACATTGAAATATAATACTGCAGTATTTAAACCAGTACTGCATATTGGTTTTCAAAATGTTGGGGAATTATGAAATAACTTGCAAGAAAACTAATAGAAAAGACAGCAGTGATAAGAGCCAATACTTAGGAGCACTGACTTTGTACCGTACACTCGCTGCTGTGCATATAAATCATTGACTTCTCACAACCACCCTTAATAAGTGACGCGGTTATAGAGGAGGTTGTAGCCCAAAAAAAGTAAAGTACTTCAAGTCTTACAACTGGTAAGCAGCAAGAGTAGGGTTCAAACCCAGCAAGACTTTTTTTTTTTTTAAGTTTTTAAAAAAAACATTAATAGAGGTGGGTGCCATGGCTCACACCTGTAATTCCAACACTCGAGGTGGGTGGATCACTTGAGCTCAGGAGTTGGAGAATCACCTGAGAAAGAGTGAGAGACCCCATCTCCACTAAAAATAGAAAAACTAGCAGAGTGTGGTAGTGGGCACCTGTGGTCCCAGCTCGGCGGGAAGCTGAGGCAGGAGGATCATGTGAGCCCAGGTGTTTGAGGTTGCTGTGAGCTATAATGCCACAGCACTCTACCCATGGTGACAGAGTGAAACTGTCTCAAAAAAGAAAAGAAAAAAGTTTCTGGCTCGGCGCCTATACCTCAACC